TCTGATTAAGACAGGGAAAAGACACATGGAGAGAATTATCTAGTCTCAAAGGTTCCCAACTTTTGACATGGTTGTGGTGGTGCCAGACTAGCACTCAGAAGAGCCTACCTCATAATGCTATATTCTGCCAACACTTCCAATACTATGGAATAAATGTTTGTGTCCTCCCCACCAACATTCATATGTTGAAACTTCATCCCCAGCATGATGGTACTTGGACATGGGGCTTCCGGAGATGAACAGGTCACAAAGGTGGAGCCCTCCTGAATGGGATTCATGCCCTTATAGAAAGAGACCCCACAGAGCTCCCTTCCACTATGTGAGGTCATAGTGAGAAGACAGCCGGCTAAGAAGCAAGAAGCAGGGCCTCACCAGACGCCAAATCTGTCAATTCCTCAATCTTGGACTTCCCAGCCTCTAGAATTGTGAGAAATAAATTACTGATGTTTATAAGCCACCAGTCTATGGTACTTTTGTTACAGCAGCCCAAATGCACTAAAACATCCAATCAACACATCCAAACCTAAGTCATCCTCTCTCCAGAAACGTGCTTCTCTCTTCCAGCACCCCTCATCTGTATCGGTGATACCACCACTCACCCTCCTTTCGGCATCCCAGGCTAAAAATGTCAAGTCATCTTTGATACCCCTTCCCCTCAGCCCCCACAGGCAAAAGAGCACCAGATCTAGTCAATTCCTTCAAAACACACAATCATCCCCGCTGACACTCCCCAACCTTTAAACAATTATATCCTCTCACATGGACAGTACAATATCCCTCTGATTGATTGTTCTGTCTCCTTACTTTCCCTTCATTAATCAATTCTATAAACTCTCCTCATAATAACACACGAGCACATCGCAAGCCACTCTCTTACTTATAAGCAAGTGATGGCCCTCCCCAGCCCACAGAATCAAACCCGAACCTGAATGTAATGCACCCAGCACAGTGTAAGCTACACTGCATATATTCAATCTTTTCTCTCCCCCAACCTTTCTTCTGGCTTTCCAAACTTATTTCCTACCCCTCCTCTTTTTCCTCCAAAAGAACTCACTCCTTCTCATTCCTCATAGAAACCTATGCTTTCTGGCCTCTCTTTACTCATGTTGTTCCCTTCTCTACAAATTCTAATACTGGAAAGAAGAACTTCATCCCCACAGAAAGAGACTCTTCGGTCTACCCTTGATTTCTGAGAGCTGCCTGCCAGCGCAACCACAAAGGCTTTCCCAGGCACCAGAGAACAAGCTTACCTCACATTGGGGGCTTCCGCATTGCTTGCCCTTTTTCCTTCTAGGAAAATACTGTTCTTCTACCTTGGAGTTAATTCCTTAGTCATTCCTCACAGTGAAGCTTAAATGTCACCTCCTCAGATTCGACCCTGACCATCACTCCACTCTAGTCTCTTTCATGTGTCAAAATAACCAAAATTTTAAAAATAAAACTATTTGTAGCATACATGAAAGACAAAGAGTTACTATCTTCATTAATATCTTTAATATGCAAAACATGAGCAGAACAGTAGTGTAAGAGGCTCTGAAGATAGATCTATTTGGGTTCACATTCTGGTCCGGCTACTCCTCAGACTTGGGCAGGCCACTAACATCTCTGAGCTTCAATTTTCTCATCTATAAAATGAGCATAACAGTCTCTAGGTCACAAGGTTACTGTGAGGATTACAGACTGATGTCTATCACACCTGGAATAGATAGTTGTTCAATAATGGTAGATAGGATTTGTACTGATAGACAAAATTACTAGGCATATAATTTTTTAAATAAGCAAAGACAAATAAATCTGGCAAACAAATATCTGGTAATTATTCCTTAATAGAAATAAAACAAGTACATATTAAAACAAAGTGCAATTAGAACAACACATCCAAGCATGCCGTGCACACACACAATTCTGATCCCAATTCCAATCTGTGTGTTTTTTTAACACACAACCAAGCAATTCTGCACCACCAGCTGGGTGCCCTACAATGTGACCCAATTCTGACACCATCTGCCTGGAGTTAGTGTCAGATCCCCCAGGTTAAGGGCTCAGTCCTAAGACTGCACCCACCTCCCAGTTCACATGCCAATCACAAGTCCAGGTTGTCACCCATGCTTCTGACTCACTGGCTATAGATTGGAGGTTCCCACCATTCCCTCTTTGGGTTCAATTAATTTGCTAGAATGGCTCACAGAACTCAGAGAAATATTTTACTTACAAGATTACTGGTTTATTATAAAAGGACATAACTCAGTAACAGCCAGATGGAAGAGATGCATAGGGCAAGGTATGGGTCAAGGACACAGAGCTCCCACGCTCTCTGAGCACGCCACTATCCCTGAATCTCTACCTATTCACCAACCCAAATGCTCTCTGAACCCCATCCTCTTGGGTTTTCAAAGGAGGTCTCATTAGATAGTCATGACTGATTAAATTCATTCAACCTCCAGAACCATTCCCCTCTGCAGAGGTCGGGGGTGGGACTGAAATCCCACGATTGATTTCTCTAGTGATCAGCTTCCATCCTTAGATGAACTAGGAGCTTTCAAAAAGTTACCACCAGCGTAACAAGACACCTTTATTGCTCTCATCAAAGGTTTAGGAGCTCTGTGCCAGGAAAAGGGGACAAAGACCAATATGTATTTCTTATTATAAATCACAGTATCACAGCACGACTGTGATTTTATCATGACACCCAATACTCAGACTCTTATACATGCAGATGGAAGTATAAACTATAATTTGAACTATGTAATAAAAATCCATTAAACTGTTCCTATCTTGAGTCAGAAATCTCATCCCTAGGACTTTAAAGAAATAATCTCAGATACATAAAGGATACATGAAATGTTTCTATCCACATTATTTATAACAGTGCAAAGTGTAAAACAAAAGCATAATGGTAATTATTAAAAGTTTCCACTTATTGAGTGAGTGCTTCTTAGTAGTCAAACTGGGTTAAGTACATTGTACACAACTGTCTATATTTAGTCTTCGTAACAATCTCTGAAGTAGGTATTATTATAAAATCCTTACTTACAAAGAAACTGAAGCCTAGAGATGGTAAGTGAGTAATCCAAAATCATAGGTAGCAGGGCCAAAACCAAACCTAGGACAATCTGATCCTAGGGCCAAGATCTTAACCACTAAACCAGAGTGTTTATACTCCATGGAACATGTCGCCTTTTTTTTTTTTTAAGATTTTATTTATTTGACAGAGAGAGAGAGAGCACACAAGCAGAGGGAGAGAGAGAAACAGGCACTCTGCTGAGCAGGGAGCCCAGTGCGGGGCTCAATTCCAGGATCATGACCTGAGCCGCAGGCAGACGCTTAAGGGACTAAGCCACCCAGGCACCCTGAACACACCGCTTTCTAAAGAAGGTTATGAAAACTATGTAATCATATGGGGAAACACTTCTGATTAAGTAATACAGATTGAATCTGCGTTAAAACTACAGTTACGGGAAAAATTTAATTCTGCTTATTTGATCAATGGAATAATGTAATTCCACTAAACTGAAAGGAAATACCTGGAAGGATACACACCAAAATGTTAGCAGTATTTACAAATAGTAGTGGATGGTGAGATTACTTTTTCTTACCTTTTTCTATTATCCAAATTATCTGTAACATGCATTTATTTTTATTTTTATAAGGACAAACGTGATTATCATTCTACCTGGATTTTAGTAATTTCACAATTATGGAAGGAGGCTGCAGAGATTAAGAAGACCTATATTCTATTTCTCGAGTATTGGGCTAAAGTTTCTTTGCTTTCAAGACAGAATTCAAGTTTCATCCTGTTGGTGAGAAAAAATTGCTATTCACTTTTATGGTATCTACTGTTTCACAAAAGTGGTACACCTCTTAGTAAATTATTTCTACATGCATTATAGCACATTGTTTAGAATGGAAGCTCTAGATTCTAAATAATTAAAATCCAAAGCAGAAGCTATCACTAACTTATCTGTGTAACTTTGGACAAACTATCTCAAGACTTCAGTTAACATCACTTACCTCTAAACGTTGTCCTAAGCATCCAATGAAATAATGAATGTAAATTTTTCAGCACAGTCCCTGACTATGGTAAGCACTCAATATATATTCATGCCTATTATTCACAAGTATAGACACCCTTCCAAAAATATCAGATCTAGCATGTGAGAAGTTATCAGGCAAGGAAAAGGTAAATGTTCTCTAATTGCTTCCATTGTTCTGATAATAGATCAGCAGATCTTTCGGAAATTACATATAACTTGCAGAAGAAATGGTAAAAGTCATGCAACTGTCATACTGTGAGGAGTTTGCCATGTGCCCTTCCTACCAATGAGAGTACTAGAGGGCCTCCTCCTCCCCTCACCTTCATCAATTACCCCCTCCTTAGCTAAGTGGCAGCCTAGCCCAGCCCAGCCCCAGGCTCACTGCTAGGCTCAAATGGGAAACCTGGGGTTCTTTCCCATCTCCAGAAACAACCTGTTCTATGACCTCCGGGAAATCAATTCAATTACTTAGTCCTTCCACTTCCTCTTCCCTGCCAAAGCAAAAATAATAATAATATCATCATCATCATCATTATTAAAGAATAAGAAAAAAAATTCTCTTTTAAATACCGGTGCCTGCAGTTAATGGCCCAGTTCCGGACAAACTGGGACAACACTAGGACCAAGGCTGGGAAAGTAAGGATGGAGAACTGAGAAAAGGAGGCGTTCCTTGGGCACCACCCCTCCATCCTCTGCCCTTCCAGACCGCGGTATGCCCTCTCACCCATCTCGAGGGTTCTAAGGGGATGCCTCTCGAGGATTGTACAGTCACAAAAATAGAGCGACGAGGAAACCACAGCCAGACCCTAAAGGAGGGAGGCTCCAGAAAGCGCAGGAATTACACCAAGATGCAAGATCAGCCTGCTGGCCGCCGCCCACACAAGCAGGGTGGCACTCCTTGCGAGGCCCCCACAGGCCTGGGAGGCTGGATTGCACCAGGAGCAGACAGGGCAGTCCCTAGCTCACCATACTCCTGGGGCTCCGGGTCCGGCTGGAAAGTGAAGTGAGCCACATGCCTCCTCTGCGCCGCAACCCCGGTGGCCGAGTCGGGCTGCAGCAAGCCCCGCAGCAGCCCCGCGCCTCGAAGCCGACGCCACTGTCCTTCCGCCCCGGCCGCACGTAGCCTCAACAGTCCGCCCACAGTCGCCGCCAACGCCGCCAACGCCGCCATCCCCACTTGTATCCCCGGTTTGCGAGCTACGCCGCCGCAAGCGGCAGGCAGAGAGGGCAGAGCACCGAGACGACTTCCTTATTGGTTGGGCCCAAGGGGCGGACCCATGAATCGGACCAATCGGAGTTAGGAATTCGGGGGTGGGGAAGACGACGAAAGGAGACCAGGGGTGTTTTCTTGTAGAGCGCATGCGGAAGAGGAGCTGGGGCGGGGGCGAGCGAGCAGGTGAGCTCCAATGAAATTGTTCCTGGACGTGGAGCCTTCACAAAGTCACTGCGTGGTCCCACGGCGCGGACGCGGGTCTGTAATCTTACACGCTAATCCTGGATTTGTTCTTTACTGATGTCATTTGCATTGTTACCTCCGATAACTTTTTCATTTTGAGATTTATGCTTTCTTTCCAAAATGTAACCCTTTTTTAGCCGCTCCTATTCTTTATCGTATTATTTTATAAGTAAAAGATGGAAAGGGTTACTGATTGGCATTGCTTATTGGTTTTGGGTTTCAAAAAACTGGGAATCACTGCTCAAAGCTTCCGCTCTTTATTCAAAGCTTCCTTGAATCCTTACTCTAAGCATGTAAACATTCTTACTGATTTTGTTTTTCAGGATTTAGGGGAGAGTTAGAGAGGTAAACTCAGATTTCATCCTGCAAATCCATGTAATAGGAATTCAGATGCATTTTTGTCCAGGTGCCGTGAAAATGACCTGACCGGCTTACACTAACGTTGAAACTTGGAGAATTACAATCGTTAATTTACGTTTATAATCATTACGTTTATAATCAATTTCAAAAATCTTTAAAATCCAGATGTTTTAAAGGATACCTTCCCTGCTCATGAATTTAAAAATCACAGTAAAATATGGCAGAGACAAAAGTGAAAGGGTTTCCATGAGATGAAGGTGGGAGGGGGGGAAGGACAGGCCCAAAACAGAATTGGGAGAGGAGTGGGAGAAAATGAAGAGGAAGGAAGAGGGGAAAGGATGTTCTTCTTCTGGTTATTCTTGGCCTCACCACCTATGTTTGGTTTTACAAGGGAGGTGAGGGAGAAGAGAGAAGAAATGGGGTGAGGACAAAGGCCAGGAGGCCAAAAACCAACTGCCTGTTTTCTGCTTGGGACTGAGAGACAGAAATTTAAATCTGCTAAAGAGAGAACCAGAATTATATCCATTATCCCTACTCCTACACCAATATATCCATTATTCCTATTCCTACTCTACACCTGCGAGGGGCTTGGCACTGGGCGTGGAGCCTGCTTAAGATTCTCTCTCTCTCTCCCTTTCCCTCTGCCCCTCACCCCCCCACCCTCTCTAAGATGATAATAATAATAATAATAATAAAAGAATGTCCTAGTTGGTAGAGAAAAGAGACAAATTATATAACTACAATTCAATGTCACAGGGACTCTAGAACAGTGTGAACAAAGTGAACCAAGAACAATAAGCTCTGTTTTTAGAAGTCAAGAATGCTTCTAGAAGTAATGCTGAGCTGGACCTAAAAGATGAGTAGAAATTATCAGGCAAACTAGGGAGGAGAAGGTATTCTAAACAAAGAAAAAAACACAAAGGCTAACAGGGCCAGAAGGAACACGGTGCATTCTAGGAAGAGAAAACAGATTGGTGGCTGCTAGACTTGGAGTATAGAGATTGACAGGAGTCGGAAAGATAAATTAGAGGGAGATTTTCAAGGTCTTCATATGCTGGCCTAAGAAGTGTGGACTTACAACCACATACAGTCAGGAACAACAAAGAGAATACCTAACAGATTTGTCTGCCAAGCAAATTATTATTGAGGGGGAGTGAGTTTGAAATTTTCCCTATCCTCACCACACCATCTGCCTGGTAACCGTGAAAATGTCTAGGTTATTAAAGTGGGATCTACCCTGGCCACATTTCATTGATAATAAGTTGGGAAACTGTCATTTTCTGGGAATCTTGGAAGCATAATTTAGAATTAGGGTATCTTTAAATGCCACTGGGAGATGCAAAAAATGAGAGTTTTCAGAAATCTGGTAGATCAGAAAAGGTGAAAAATATGACTGCATCTGAGTTCCTGATTCTATTTGTTCCTGAGGCCTAAGTGCTTTCTGGTCCTGGGTTTCTGTGAAACTATGAGACACCATGATCGCCTTAAAATAGATTCTCCTCTGAGCTTAAGTTACTTCTAATTGCATTTCTGCAACCTTAACCTCCCTGAACACCTTCAGAACCCATGACTGTGGAGGGAATACAAAGCGAAGTTGCTAGTCTTTCTTCAGAATGACTCTTGGCTTATTCTCTGTCATTGAGCTTCCGTACGTGTCAAACCTACGCCTGTTTGAACTCAGCTTACTTTTGGATACCCTTCATATATAGCAACATAATATTCTGTAGTCTTATATCCTATGTCCTGACCCCTGTTCCCATTCAAACTCAACCAGAGGCATGGGGAACATGAAGTAGCCAAGGGCTCAAATTCTTGCTTTAGAATTTTAAAGTAGATTGTAATGCTGATGGCAGAAACAATAATTTGGGAAAAGAGTTTGAGTTTTAAAGACTAGTTTCTGAATATTAAACCTTAAGAACCTGAATGGCTTAGGGCACAAAATTCATGATCTACACAAAATATTGTAAATAGCATGCTAATTTCAGAGTCCGTTTTTCCCACCGCCCATGGAGGCAGAGCCATAGCACACAAAAGAACTGTCGGTGTCTCTATCTGCAGATAGGCCTAGGAGTATGACAGAGTCCTCACACCCCGCACCGTGGCATGGCATTTGGAACAACAGAATGCTTCTCTTAAATGGCCAAGAGAGATGCCCGTATGGCATCAAGGTCCAGAGAACTTAAGAAGGCCCAGAAGTCAGAATGACAAGGCATTTTTATCTAGAATATACTTTTTAAAAAATTTTAAACTTGATAATAAGAAGATAAATTACCTAATTTAAAAAATAAGCACAGAACGCAACCATCGGTGGTGGGAATGCAAAATGATACAGCCGCTTTGGAAGACAGTTTGAAACTTACAAAACTAAACATACTCTCGTCATACATACAATCCAGCAGTCACGCTCCTTGCTATTTAGCCAAAGGAGTTGAAAATTTATACCCACAAACAACTGCCCACAAGTGTTTATTGCAGCTTGATTCATAATTGCCAAAATTTGAAAGGAACCAAGATGTCTTTCAGTACATGGATAAATAATTGGATTGGATAAATAAACTGCGGTATATCCAGACAATGGAATAGTATTTGGCACTATAAAGAAATGAACTATCAAGTCATGAAAAGACATGAAGGAACCTTAAATGCATACTACTAAGTAAAAGAAGCCAGTCACAAAAGACCACATAGTGTACAATTCCATTTATATGAAATATCCAGAATAGGCGAATTGGTAGAAATAGAAAGTAAGTTAATAGTTACCAGGGGCTAGGGAAAAGGAGTAATGGGGAGTGGTTGCTGTTAAGTATGGAGTTTCTTTTGAGGTAATGAAAATATTCTAAAATTAAATAATGGTGATAGTCACACAATTTTGTCAATGTACTAAAAATCACTGACTTGTACACTAAAAGTGAATTTAATAGCACATAAATTATATTTCAGCAAAGCTGTTGTTTAAAAAATCAAGTTATGGAAGAGTAATAAAAGTTACATTTGTCTACCTGAATATGTGGTTTCGGAGATTCATTCCCCTACAGCATGTGTTTGACATGTACGTTAGTTCATAGACTCTGTTTGAAATTGGTCTCAGTTCAGGACTGGAGATACTTAGATGGAAGAGCTCCAGGGTTTTCTTTGATTTGCTGCTTACCACATGGAAGAATCCTGTTGGGATCATTCTGAAAAGAAAATCCAAAATATAGCCAAAGCCAATGTATTCATTTCCTAGGGCTGCTGTAACAAAGCACCACAAACTGGGGACAGAAATTTATTGTCCCTCAGGTCTGAGGCTAGAAATTCAAGATGAAAGTGTTAGCAGAGTCATATTCTGGAAGCTGTAGGGGAATCCTTCCTTGTCTCTTCCTCGCTTCTGATGTTTTACTGGCAATCTTTGACATTCCTTGGCTTGCAGCTACGTAAACCCAATCTCTGCCTTTGTCTTCACAAGATGTTCTCGCTGTTCTTCCTTTCTTGTCTCTGGTATCCTCATACAGCCATCTTATAAGGACACATCCAGTCTTATTGGATTATGAGCTCACCCTACTCCAGTATGATCTCATCTTAACTATTTATGGCTACAACTCTTTTACCATATAAGGTCATATTCTGAGGTACTAAGTGGGGGTACTGGAGGCTAATTAGGTTCAACGTATCTTCTGGGGGATGGGCACAATTCAATCCTCGACAGCCAGAGATTTAATGGCAGAACAGAAGCTGAATAGATGCTGTTGATGAATTTTCTGGAGATGCCTGCATTGGTAAAGAGTCTTTATAAATTGCTTAATAGATTTCTTCCAATACGAAAATCTATGATTTGGAGTAGGGTTAAAGAAACTGGAGATAGTTGGTCTACATGAGACTTTTAAAGTTATATATTAATTCTCCTTACATGTTTGATGGCTCCCTTGTAGAAAAAGGATTAAATTTTCTGTTTGGTTCCAGCAAGAAAAACAAGAAACAGAAGAAGCAAATTCCAGCTCAATATAACATATATGAAGTATATAAAGTAAATTGTCTTGGGATGTGATGAATCTTCTCTCATTAGAGATAGGCAAGTACAGGATAGATTAACATTATTGGAGGAGCCTCTTGGGAGGACTTATACTTCATTTAGGAGTTGTTTAGGGGCCTTCTAATTTTAAGAATCTGATTCTGCTATTCGGTAGTGTGCACTGAGAACCTTGCATGTGTCAGGTACTCTGTTTTAATGAACATTATTTTAAGCCAGCCCATGGACCTAAGCTACCTAAACCATCCAGCATGTGAATTATCCCTCGTTGTGCCCTTCCCAAGCATCTAGGCAACTTCTCTCTGGCTTATCATCTCCTGCAGGGGCTTGAGATGCACTTGGGACCCGTCTGTCAGGAACCTGATCTTCTACTGGATGGAAAT